TATATATATATATATATATATATATATATATATATATATATATATATATATATATATATATATATATATATATATATATATATATATAACAAGACTCTGTTCTTGTGGAAGTTTAGTTCTGTGCTTGTGGGCATACTTGTTCTTCAGCTGGTGATTGTGCGTTTCGATTCTTAAACCGTCGATTTCAAAATTAATAATTTTAATTTTTAAACTTAGGAATGAATCGTCTAAAATTGATTTCGATTTGATTTGAAATCAGAAAATCGTTAGAGCAATTTAATTTTGATTTTAACTTGATTCGAATTTCATTTGAAGGGAACCATAATCAAACTTACTTCATGACACCTAAAATTATTTAAAATATATTATCTTATAAGTTTCGTTGGGTGTGTTTGAATAGAGTATAAATATTCTAAATAAAGTACTGAAAAATTATTTGCAAGAAAAATGGTTGATATGACATCTGACAGTGACCAATGAGCAACTCATAATTTAAGATGGCAATCTCTGGAACATGGAAGACATCAAACCATAGATTTTATGATTTCTCGTTGATTTAGGGAAACGGAAAGAGTTGAGATGGGGTTGTGAGATGTTTTATATTTTTGTATATATTTTTAAATAAAAAATTATGTTTCTCACATCTCTTTCCATCGGGAAAGTAACGGATGTAATTATAATTATTAAATTTATATATTTTAATTGATTAAAAAAAAAATGATCGCACGATTTGACCGAGCAACCTTCCTACGTGTGGATACTAAATGAAATATATTATTATCGATGATGACAATTATAATGCCCAAATGGTTCAAACAATTTTCATATGTAAGGAGTATTTGATGAAATTATTTATCATTCACTAAATACCTCAAATACTCTGGTATTAATAAATTATATTATAATTCTAGCCTAACTTGGGTATCCAATGGATACTCAACACTCTTGACCCTGTCTTACATGACACTTTGATCGAGTCATCCTTTTTATTCCTCCACACCAAACTTGTAATGAAATGACACTAAATCCAATTGACTTTGCAATGCGTAACACGTCATAAAACCAAGATGAGCATTAACAATATATATAACATTCATAAATCATCCTTCTAAATAGTACATAGTGATTGATATTATTGTGTGTGTATTAAGAGCCGTAATTATGATATACTGTGCGAGTCGAATCGTATGTTACAATATAAGCTTCGCCATGACTTCTTCATAACAACCAGCTATCCCATCGATGATACGAATCAACATAGTCCCACATCGACAGTAAAACGAGCTAACGAGAGATAGCAGGTCTATAAAAGAAGAGACCTTGTAACGAGTTAGATATCTTTGCGCTTGGGGCAATGTCGCAGCTAGTGAGGTTATAACCGAGGCGCGACAATTGCTGGTTGAAAACTATTTCCAAACCCCCTCTTCGGCATGGGTTTACCCCGGTGCCGTTGAGAATTTCTGGAAGGGCTCCCTCTAACCAGGGTTAAGCCCTACTAAATCTCTTTCTTAAATCTCTTACTTTTAACTTATATTTTCTCATGCTATTCCTTGAGTGATCTAAATTGACGTAACATATCTTGATTTACTATGTAGAAGTTAAATGTCCAGATATGGTCAAGTTAAAATTACATTAGTAGAGGGATATTCATCGTTAAAAAGAGGTTAACCATTCTGCCACTATAATAATCTTGGGATCGGATGGTGTGGACACTAATGGGAGATCTCCCAACCTCGCACGATTTGTCCACGTAGCAACTCGTTTTGATCTTACTATGTAGTAATCAATACATAATCGTGATCCTTTTTGGTTATTTTTTGATAACTTATATGAGACATGCAATAGTTCATTTTATTTTTAATAAATTTTTTTGTTCACTGTTTATGTTTTTGTAAAACTTAAAAACATTGTGAACTGTGGCATGGCATAAAAGGAAATATCGAAATAACTCTATTTTTACATGCCACAAATTAATTTTTTGTGAAGCCGACAATGGAGCTGTTGAGTGAGCCATGGGCGATCATGTAATATCATATAATATAGAAATATCAAGATATATTTATATGAAGGATATTCAATATAATAGATGTATGTATCTTTTAGTTTTATTAGAATGCTTACCCTTATTTTAGTTGATTTTTGTGACTATGTTAGTTTTATAAATGTAAAATGTGTTCAATCATCACATAAAGATAAAATTATTCAAAAATAAATAAATCAGACAATTATTCCAAGAGTTTTCTAGCTCGGTAGAGTGACGTGGAGTGTCAGCTAACATACTAACTTAAAACTATCTAGGTGACACATGGTTAGATGGGTCTTTGTAGTATTATCTAGTGTTGGTTAGTAGTATCATACGGGCATACTTTTGATTATGATAGTCCATCTTAGATCATTTATTATATGATCGTTCAAAATTTACGAAGTTTATATTTATAATTTATATTGTCTATCAAGTATTTATTAAAATGTCTGCTTATGTGATCCTAAAATAAATGATTTTTCTAACTCGTCTTCTCTTCTACAGGTCCTTAAGAGACGATAGAGGTTTCCAAGAGATTGACCTTTTGCAAACGAATATACTACCTTACAACTTAGGTAAAACCAGTTAAATCTATGACAGATGATATCAGAGCAGGACAAACACACTTAAAAACACTTCATATGCAAACGTGAGGGACCTAGTAGGGTTGTATTGTTAACAGTCAATGTTGGGAAATCTTGGGGGCGACATCACATACGCAGCGGAAGAACAAGAAAACAAAATCCCTGATTCCCAAAGATATGTTCGTCGTCGTGCGAAGATTGGTGCGCAAAATCCGCGAAACTTAAAACTACGTATAGATTAAATTGTGTTACCTAGGGAGATCGTATATCTCTGTTTCCTTGCAGATCCTTAGGAGAGGGTGAAGGAGATCAAGCGTCATCCTCTCTAGCGGTGATCCACACAGCAGGGCTGAGACGACGCTCCTCAAAACTCCAGGCCTGCTCTGAGGTGAAGAGGGGAGGAGAATAGGAGAGGCAAGCAAAGGCTCTAGCCTATGAGGCTCTGAATCCCTCCTATTTATAGAGGTCCCCTGTCAAACACTAATGGGTCCTCCCCTAGTGGGTATTGGATCTGCATCCAATAAGACAAGGGCTCCGTCGGATATCTCATATCCGAACCTCTACTCATCGCAATGCCTACCATATGTGTGTGACCCTCTAGGCCCAATATCGAGCTGGCCGTGAGTCATACCCGTCAGAACTCCTTCTAACTCAATGAATTATTATCTCTGTAATAATTCACTTGACTCATCGACTACGGACGTACTAGGCCACTACGCTGTAGTCCCCAGATGATACAGGGGAATCCAATCCATTGGACCTGTCTGTCCTCAGTTACCGTGTACCTATAGTCCCTCATCCATCTAATATCCCAGAGACCGTATATCGAGCATGGTGCTGTCAGACTCATACAGTTTCTACTCGAGTC